AAGGCTGAGTCAACCCTGAGCCGGTGAGATTAGAACTGCTGAACTGCAGATAACAGTCAGCTGAAGTGGCCTGCAGTACTGCACCCTAACCACTGGGTCACCTCGGCACAGTTTGGATGAAGGCAAGTGCAGGGTGTATGCGGAGGCTCCGGGAGAGCAAAAACGGGCTTTCCGGATGTTCAGGAGGGCGTCTGGAGACTGGGGAGGCCGTTTTTACCCTTCCGGAGGCTCAAAGAAAGCCTCTGGAGCCTAGGGAGGGCAAATACACCCCCCTGTGATACAGGAGGTTGTATAGGCCACACCCACCATGGCCACGCCCACCCAGCAACCAGGCAGAAAGCCCTTGTCAAAAGTTTTGAAGTCCACCCCTGCCATAATTCCTTGCCGGGTGATATCTGGGCAGCTAAATGGAGCAAGCAGAATGTTTGCATGGCCCGATGCCCTTCCTGTTGCCAATGCAGAGTTTTTTGTTCGGCAAATATATTCCCAGAGAGAGAGAGCAATAAGGTTGTTTTTAATAGAAATAAGAGCATTTTTTTTAAAAAAATCACATGTCTTTGAAGATTCTCGGTCGTCCAGATCATAGTTGTCCCAAAGGTGCTTTTTCAAAAGGCAACTGGGTTTTCTTTTTCCTCGAAGACATTTCGCTTCTCATCCGAGAAGTTTCTTCAGTTCCGGCTGAAAGGGTGGGGGGGGGAATGGAAGGATTTATATTCTTTGCAGTCATCTGGTCGTTGACACCCAGAGAGGGTCGTTGAGGCCACTTGGAGGTTTATCCAATGACTGCAAGGAATATAAATCCTTCCATTCTACCCCTTTCAGCCAGAACTGAAGAAGCTTCTTGGATGAGAAGCGAGACCTCTTCAAGGAAAAACAAAGTCCATTTACCATGTGAAAAAAAACCCCATCCCGTCCCAGCTCATTTAGGTCCTTTTTTAACGCAAAGCACATGTGCAGAAGATGGAGTGCTCACCTTTGCGTACCGGTAGGGAAGGTAAGTGAATACCTCTAACATTTTTTTCCTACTAACATTTCCCCCCCCCCCCCCGAACTGGTGGGCATTTTCGGACCATGGGGTGGTACCCAATTTTCTAGCAGTAGAGGCAAGTCCTAATTTCATGGGGGGCATTTTTGGGAGAAGCCAAAAAAGTTCTAAAAAAATATCATTAAAAGGTATATCAACTCACCTTTGAATGTGTTGCAGCTCAGACGGGGTGGTGATATCAAGCCAAATGCGAGAGGCAAATGCTATTTAACAGGGGGAGAGGCTTAGAAATAATCCCTGGGATGTGACACATTGAAGGGAAAATAGCCCTTTGACTTAATTTCCTGACAAGTCATGTTTCTGATCTCCCATCTGACCGATGATGCCCTGTCATTGTCCGTGCTGACTCAGTTTTCTGCATCCCCTGTTTGATTAAGCAAAGGGCATTCTGTAATTCCTCTCATCAATTACAGCCTGCGCAATAATCTCGGCAGAATCATAGGCTACACAGCAGAGCCCGGAAATTTGTCCAGGAGGTGTTTTTCAGCCCTAAATTACACGAGGCACGAGAACCAGCCGATTCACCCAAATTAACGTTTCCAGCCCGTTGTTGTTTGGTTCCATGTCATATGTTCTACAGCCATGCATTGTCACGGGTCATCCCAGGGCCAGTGGCTATGAGGTCATGTAATAATAGAATCATGTGGAGAAGCACATTGGTGTTTTTTCATAGAATCATAGGATAGGAAGAGAGAGTTAAACAAGTCATTAGCCTAGAGTCGTTACGTTTCCACAAACTATCTAAGTCCATCCCATCTTGAATTCTATTATCTGGCATCATTTTAGTATTGAACGTCAGTTGAATGGATTCTTTTTTTTAATTGAATTTTTTTTAAAAAAGCTTTTACAAATATTTACCTCCCCTCCCTCCCTCCCCACCCGAACCCCCCCCCAACCTCCCCCCCCCAACTTCCCAGAACAAATACAGGGTATAAATCTTTAACAATCATATTCTAAAGTAAACTAACAGACTTTAGCATCACTCCCCTTTTGTTGAGCTAACTCTAAACAAATTATATCATTCCTTGCTTCTTCAAATCATAAGCTATCTGGAGTTTCTTAGTCCCATATTTATTTTGGATGTAATCAATCCATCTTCTCCACTCCAGTTTATATTTCTCATTTGAGTGGTCCTTAAGATATGCTGATATTTTAGCCATCTCTACTAGGTTTGTTACTTTTAATGTCCATTGTTGAATTGTAGGCAAATCTTCCTTCTTCCAGTATTGCGCCACCAACAGTCTCGCTGCCTTTATTAAGTACAAAATCAAGTTGGTTGCTATAGCAGTACAATCAGTAGTTATACCTAACGGGAATAACTGAGGGGTAAACTTTATCCTCTTTTTAAAGAACATTTTGCATAATCCACCATATTTTTATCCCAAATGCTTTAACCTTTTTACAAGTCCACCATGGATGGTAATATGTAGCATCAACACAATCACATCTCCAGCATTTAGGTTGCAAATTCGGATACATGCAGGCCAGTTTTTTAGGATCTAAATGCCATCTATAAAACATCTTGTAGAAGTTCTCTCTCAGATTTTGGGCTCTCATCTGCACCTCCAGAACTGTCTCGTTTGGCTCTGCGACCAAACAAGACAGACACGGACTTCAGAGGAGAATCAGAACTGCAGAAAAAACAATGGCTACCAACCTGCCTTCCAATGAGGACCTGCACACTGCAGGAGTCAAAAAGAGGGCCGTGAAAATATCTACTGACCTCTCACATCCTGGACATAAATTGTTTCATCTCCTACCCTCAAAACGATGCTACAAGACACTGCACACCAAGACAACTAGACAGAAGGACAGTTTCCCCCCCAAATGCCATCACTCTGCCAAACAACTAATTCCCACACCACTGTCAAATTATCTGACTTGTATTATTATTATTATTATGATTATTATACAATTGTATCACAGCGGCCAGTTGTTTCGCCGGATTTGGCATTGGTTACTAGTCGGGCCCCACCCAGGGGCCTCGGACGTCGTAAC